CTCTGAAGTATGTATAGTGCATCCAGAAATAATACCTCAGGAATTTCAGCGGCCTACCTCTGAAATAAGATTAAAAGGTTTAGGACCTGCGATACCAACAGCAGTAGTGACTTTGCCAATAGAATATGGAGGATGGAAGGGTATGTGGGATTTTGCAGTCAGTCCTGACATACCATACAGATGTTTAATTGGAAATGATTTGGCTAAGAAGATTGAAAGCTGGAGGATGACGTGTGAAGAGGAAGAATATAACAACGAAAGCCATGATCAAAAAGCCATGTGTTTTGCCATACAACAGGATGGGGAGGAGAGTCCGGAATCCAGCGCTACGGTTGCTGAGCTTGTTAAGAAGACGGGAGGAATTGAAGAAATTCGGCAGGAACAAGGAGCCGATGAATCTCTTAAACCTCTATTCGCTTTGGCTCAAAACCCCACAATATTGGCAAAAGAACAGCCCTCCGAGTTTGTGTTAAAGAATGGTGTTTTATATAGAAAAACCAGGAATGTGGAGTCAACAGAAGAATCAGTGACAAGTAGTCAAATTGTAGTGCCTCAAAGTTTTAGAGAACAGCTGATGAGGGTGGCACACGAAAACCCTCAAGGTGGACATTTGGGTGTGAGGAAAACCACAAAGAGAATCACTAAGAACTTTTATTGGCCTGGCGTGTTCCAGAAGATCAAAGAGTTTTGCCAGTCTTGTGACATCTGCCAAAGATTGAGTACTGGAAGGGATAAAATTAAAGCTCCTATGATCCCTATGCCAATAATTGGAGAACCATTTTACAGAGTGGGCATTGACATAGTGGGTCCTCTTTGTAAACCAAGCAGACGTGGTTACCGATACATTTTAACCATGATTGACTACGCCACAAGATATCCAGAGGCTGTAGCTCTAACTAACATCGAGACAACAACGATTGCAAATGCACTGTTATCCATTTGGGGAAGAACTGGTTATCCTAGAGAATTGGTTTCAGATTTGGGAACCCAATTCACTTCCAGACTTATGTCGAAATTGCTTGAGTTATGTGGTATCAGACACCTGACTTCAACAGCTTATCATCCACAGACAAATGGACTAGTTGAAAATATGAACAAGACTTTAGTCAAAATGATAAAGTCTTACAGTCAAGAGAAGCCATACGACTGGGACGTCAAATTGCAACAACTGTTATTCGCCTACAGGACCGTCCCTCATGACAGTACTGGCTACAGTCCATTTGAATTGCTATATGGAAGGAAAGCTCATGGTCCATTAGACCTGATAAAGGAATATTGGGAGGAAAGTCCGGCAACAGATCCAGTTCCAGTGTCGGAGTATTTAAAGGATCTTCAATCAACAATGCAACTGGCTAGGGACATTGCACAAGAACATTTGCTTGCGGCTCAGCAGAGACAAAAAGACTATTATGATTCTACTGCTAAACCAAAGATCTTCAACATCGGAGATGAAGTTTTATTTTTATCTCCCAACAAAACCAACAAACTTCAATTGGATTGGTCGGGACCCTGGAAGATCATCAGAAAACACAACCAAATAAACTATGATATTTATGATGAACATTCCAATGTAGAAAGAAGAGTCCATATAAACATGTTAAAGCCTTATGTTGAAAGGTCTGCTAATGTATGTTTTGTTGTTTCGGAGGAAGAATCCGGTCCCTTTTCTTTTTGGGAGGGTGATCGTGAACAGTACAAAAATTTGGATCGGGTAGAAATGAACATAGAATTGTCCCAACCACAGAGAAGAGAGGTTGTGAAAGTTTTGAGTAAATATAAAGACATATTTTCAGATTTGCCAGGAAAGGTCCAGGGAGTCCAGCATCAAATAAACACCGGTGATGCAACTCCCATAGTATCTCCACCCTACAGGGTCACGGGGAGAATTAATGAGTGTATTGAAAAGGAGATTAAAGAAATGTTGGACCTAGGTATTATTGTTCCATCAGTTAGCTCTTGGGCTTCACCCATAGTGTTGGTACAGAAGCCAGACAAGACAATTAGATTTTGCGTGGATTATAGGCGGTTAAATAAAGTAACCCAGACAGATACTTACCCTATGCCACGTTTAGACGATCTGCTAGAAAGGATGGGGAAGGCCAACTTTATTAGTAGTATAGATCTGACTAAAGGATTCTGGCAAGTGCCCATGGCACCACAGGATCGACACAAAACCGCCTTCCGAACCCAAAGTCGGTTATTTGAATTTTCTGTCCTCCCTTTTGGGCTAAAAAATAGCCCAGCCACATTTCAGAGATTAGTAGACAGTGTTTTAAGTGGGCTGGGGTCTTTTTGCGTGGCCTATATCGATGATATAGGGATTTTCAGCGATTCCTGGGAAGCTCACCTTGAACATTTGGATCTGGTGTTAAGCAGGTTGAGAGAAGCAGGGTTAACTATTAAGGCTTCTAAGTGTAAGATAGGATACAATGTTACTAAGTATTTAGGACATTTAGTGGGAGGAGGTCATATTCGACCTGACCCTACTAAAGTGGCAGTTATTCACCAGTGGCCAGTGCCCAAAACGAAAAAACAGGTTAGGGCATTCCTTGGATTGGCTGGATACTATCGCAAATTTATCCCATCTTTTAGTAATTTGGCGGCCCCTCTTTCGGATCTTACCAAAAAGAAGAACCCGAACCAGGTAATTTGGACTCCAAATTGTCAAACTGCCATGGATCAATTGAAGAAATCAATTACATCGGAAAGTTTCAGGTTTCAAGCACTTTATTAGGGAAAGATACAAAGTCAAAGGAGAGGGGAAGTTACCTGGAGTTGCAGGCATTCCTGGTCTTGGAGCTAGCAGCTGGGGCGCATTCCATCTGCTGGCCTCAAAGCTTGGCCCAGGAACTGCGGAACTCCCTGCTGCAGTTCACACTAATGTAAAGGCGGGGCTACAAGATGCGCTCGCCGTCAGGAGGAAGAAAGAAGAACTCTTCTCTGTTTCCATTGACCACCTTCGTTACCATTGAATGGCCTTGCAGGTCCAAAGCCTGGCTGCTTCCTGCCTGGCTTCCCACAGTTATATTAACCCCATTTGCCTGCTTTCCCACAGGCCTCACCCCTCCGAGGATGCCTGCCATAGAGAGGTGTGGGCGGGAATGCTTCTGGAACATGGCCACGCAGCCCGGAAGACTCACAGCAACACAGAGATTCCGGCCATGAAAGCCTTCAGCTACAAAATGCAGAATATCAATAGTTGTTAGTGTGAAATCTCAGTGAATGCCAAACCCAGAGACTCCGTGGCCAGGACTGGGATTTCCTCTGGATGAGAAGAGGCCTCTCCCTTTCCAGGAGACCTTCTCTCGTGGCCTGGCCAGGCTCTGAGTGCTCAGGAGGCGAGGAAGGGGATGCGGGGAGAGACCCAGGGCACAGAGTTCCACCATTTGGAAGCCCCCGAAAGCCTCAGGAGATACCTGGCAAGGGAACCCCAAACCTTTCACAAATTTATTGAATTATATTTTGGGGTGTGCTGTATTCCTAGTGTCTCAAATGTATGGTGAAGGCCCCTGGTCCCCTTCCCTTCTATGTACATCCAACCCTGGGAACGGAGAGTCCTCTACCCTCAGTAAACCTCCCTCTAGCGATCTCCCAGCCTAGACATGGAATCCCTCTTGTGTGAGAGTGACAGATAGACAATCCCTTTATCAGTTGGGCTGTTTTGCACTCTTTACCTGGCCAGGTGTGTCCAGAGGTCTAGGATTCCCACAGATGCAAAGGCTAAGCAAAGGTGAATAAATGAGCCTTTTGAGTGGATACCCGGCCCTCTGGCTCTGTGGCATGATCACCTTTTGTGTTCTGTGCCTGGCACTGTTGCCTTCTTCGGAATGAGACATTAAGTCAATCAGGGAATCACCTGCACACCCAC